CTCGGAGGCGGAGGCGGAGGGACCGGCGGGGCCCTGCCAGCCAGCGCATCTCCCCGGCCTGGTCCCTGCTGGGCCGTTTTCTGGCAGACAGCGCCGCCGCTGCTTTGGAGCCTTTGTGGACTTCCCACCATGTTTCTTCCCTTCCTCCTGACAGTGACCGTGTTTTCCTTTTGCAGAATTTCGCTAAAGAGTTTGTGACCAGTGACCGGAGGGAGCTGGAGGAAGACTTCATCAAGAGTGAGCTGAAGAAGGCGGGGGGCGCAAACTATGATGCCCAGACGGAGTAACCCCACCCTCCGCGCCCCCAGTCACCGCAACCCCGGGAGGGGACCGCCGGCCTCGCCACCAGCCCACGGGGAGAGGACAAGCTAGGAGAGGCCTCACCGCCGCCTGTGTCTGTGGCGCGGAGCCCCTTTCCTGTCCCCTCCTGACCCCGCTGTGTCCCGTCTCACGACGCTCATGGAACATCTTCATTTGATCTTTTCCTCTCTTTTCTTTTCCTAGAGAAAAATCATTTTGATGCCAAGGTCATGCACTTAATCAGCCCCACGTGCCTCTCAGGGCAGCCCCGTCCCTGGTATTTCTCTTGTGCTCCTCGTAGCCCAAGAGAACACCATGGCCTCTCTTTGATTTCCGACCCTGACCCATGCCATCCTGGTTTCCTTGGGCCTCCTGCTTCCTGTGAGGCTGCTGCTGCACCAGAGGCTGCTGCAGCCTTCCTGAACACACGCATTGATGTATCAGTGGGCACAGGCCTCCTGCAAATGCTCCTGGGCCCTCATCCCACCCCTGAAGTTGCATGGAGACAGTGTTGCCTGCTGGGGAGAAGCCTAGGTCTGGCTCGGACCAAGTAAGAAATTAAAACATTTGCCTTAAAACTGCCTGGCAGTAGCTTTTGCCATCAGGTCTGGAACCCCCCAGCCCCACCCTTGGGCCTGAAATCTCCCCAGAATGAGGAGACGTCTGAGGCCGGGGTGATGGAGGACCATTTCCAGGCTGACCCCAGGGGCTCCCAGAGGGGTGAGATGGAGGTAGGAGGCCACGTGGGGAGTGGGACTTGGGGAGCGGGTGCACGTGAACCCCAGGCCCCCCCAGGATCTGACTTTGCTGCGTTTGAAGAAAGATGAGATTGGCTTGGTTCCTGTGAGCACACTTTCTAGGGTTCTTTTTCCTTTTTTCCTTGCTCCTTTCATTTGGGGAAGAAAATTGTACTGTATGCGGTGTGAAGACCAGCTCTGTCACCAAGCAGTTTACAGAAATAAATGTGTTGTGTTTTTAAAAAAAAAAGTTTGGCTTCCAATTGGTCTTGCAGTTTCTTTACTAAGAGAACAAAGCCCGTCTCCCTCCTGTTCAGATGTCTCTGCTGCAGCTGTGGCTGCCTGGGGCAGGGCTGGCGCAGTCGGGAGCTTATTCTCTTCTCTCTCTCTCTCTTTTTGGTTTTTAGAGACAGGGAGGGTGTCACAGTATAGTTGAGACTGCCCTGGAGCTCAGTATGTAGCCCAGGCTGGTCTCGAACTTGCAGTGATCCTCCTGACTCAGCCTCCCGAGTGCTGGGATGACAGGCTGGAAGGGAGGCTTCATGGGAAGTGTGACTGCAGAGCTTTCCAGAACCTCGGCCAAGGCAGGGCACCCAGTGACGAATGGCCAGAGTCTGCGCACAACTGAGCGAGGCACCCTTCTGATGGGAGGTCTTGAGGCCCTGCACCCGGGCTGGCCTGGGGCCTCCCTGGGAGGCTCAGCACTGAGGTGGAGGCTCCTGGTGATGCTGCTGGGGTGGCCCTCGCTGAGTCTCCCCCACAGCCTGACTCAAGCCCAGTGTAGACAAAGCCACTTTGGACCACAGCCGGCTCCCCAGAGGACGGAGCCTTGAGGGGTGGAGAAGGCGCGTGGTGTCCTGGGTGCTCTCGGCTGAGGGTAACTGAGAGCATCACCAGGAAATGTCCCCAGTCTGAGCCAGGTGGGGACACACACCCGGGATCCCAGAAGGCAGGAGGCCGAGGGAGGAGGGTCATGAGCTACATAGAGAGACCCTGTCGCAAACGAGCAAGCCAACATCACCAAACGTAAGGAGGAATGGTCTGGATGCCACACTCAGTGGCCTAATGTCGTGGCCTGGGAGGCCGGAGGATTTCCTCACTTCCCTTGATAACGTAGTGACTCCGTGACGAGCTTTTTTCTCAGTAGTGTTTTTGTGAGGTCAATGGTGAGAACCGAAATTTGGGGGTTCCAGGGGACCTCCTGGAGTGACTGCAGCGAGTCTGGGTCCTGTCCTTGAGCTGGATCTTCATGGGTGGGGTAGGGTTAGCTTGACTGGCTTGGGTGTGGGTGGGCGAGGTGGGGCTGCGGTGGGCATTGAGGATGGCTGAGTTCGTGGCCACTGCTGGCCGCCGTGACCCAGCAGGCTGGCGGGAGTGTACGGTCCTAGCAGAACAGTCATTGCTCCTGGGCTCTGCTGGGGCCCGCAGGATGTAGCAATGGCCTGTGAGTGTCTGAGCTCAGGAACTCAGGTGGGGTGGAAAAAGGGGTCAGACCTACCAGTTTTTACCTTTCTTTCTTTTTCTTTCTTTCTTTCTTTCTCTCTCTCTCTCCTCTCTCTCTCTCCCTCTCTCTCTCTCTCTCTCTCTCTGTCTCTCTCTCCTTTCATTTTTTGAGAGCAGGGTCTCACTATGTAGTTGAGACTGCCCTGGAACTCACTATGTAGCCCGGGCTGGTCTTGAACTCACATCGATCCTCCTGCCTCAGCCTCCCAGGTGCCGGGATTACAGGTATGCACCATGACACCCGGCACCAGTTTTTACCTTTAAAAAAATTTTTTTTTAATTTTAATTTTCGTTAGTACCTATATGCACTACATGACAGTTGTATTCATAATGGGGAGTTGACCTGTGTACATAACCTTTTTTTGGGGGGGTTATTTCTTCATACTGGGGATCAAACTTGGGACCTTGTACTTTTAAGGCACGTGGTGGAAACACTAAGCTAAATCCCAGCCCCTTTATTTTATTTTTTGAGACAGGGTCTCACTATGTAGTTGAGATTGGCCTTGAACTTGCTATGTAGCCCAGGCTGGTCTCGAACTCACAACAATCCTCCTGCCTCAGCCTCCCAAGTTTTGGGACCATAGTCATACGCCACCACTCCTAGCCAACATAATTTTTTTTTTAACTGCAAAAGTAACACATATTCAATGTAACTAGTTGTAAAAATGCAAAAGTAAATAAATACAAAGTAAAAATTGTTCCCACTGCCTCCTCCCATTACTTCTAGTTAGGGCTGTGGTCTTTCAGACTTTTCTTTGTCCGTGTGCAATACACAAATACAGCGTGCACAGGTGTGAGTTTTTGAAGAGGAGACACTTCCTATGTGTATGTAGATAAAGGAAATTGTACATCAGCCTCATCAGAGGAGAGATGGCGTCTGCAGTGTGCTATTTTCAGGTGACGACATCCGGAAAATCCCTTGGATGCCTTACCTTAAGGGCTCCTTTGTAGGACCTGGGATTGAGGAAGTTACAGCCACTGTGGATGGACACTGGGACCTCCTGGACAGCCTCGGGACCCACTCCGCCCATGATCCGCCCTCTCGGGGTGGAGGAGGCTGCCCCTCCCGGCTTGCGGTGTGTTGCGCAGCCATCTACTGGCTTTGAATTCCGTGGGCCTGGCGTGGACAGGAACAGGATTCTTGCTGGTGGGCAGGAGGGAGGGCCTGCCGGTGGGCTCCAGGGACCGCGGGGACCCCTGGCCGGGACTTCCCTCCCCACAAACCCCCCCCAAGTGGGAGTGGATCCGCCTACCGCCCGAGTCAGCAGGGGTCCGGGGTTCAGGTGTGAGCGGCTGGAACCCCAAGTTCCCTGTGTCGAGGGCCAGCCCCTGTCCTGGCTTCTAGCCTTCGGGGCTGCAAACTGGGAAGTGGGGCTTGGGTTTTTGCGGGGTGGTTCTGTTTGTGGTTCTCCTATGCACAATAGAGCACTATTAAGCAGCATTTAGCTTGTTTCTGGAACCTGCTTCTAGCACTGTCCGAGCCTCCTGGCCTATGTCTTCACCCCGGTTTCCTCGGGACACTTTCTGAAAGACCCCTGGGCCAACCGTGCATGATTTATCAGAGTGCCCCCAAACCGGGTGCTGGCTGTCACCCATCCGGCTTCCCTGTGCCTGGCCTGGCTGGGAGGTGGTCAGGCTTTGTAAACTGCAGTGAAATCTGTGTCCTGCACCCAAACCATTTTGAAGTGAGCCTCCCATCCCCAAAGGGAACCCTAACCACGGAGCTCCGCTCCACACCCTCCGAGGCAGCCGCCGCATCTCTGCCCCCCACCCACTCTCATCCAAAGCCCTGACTTCCCTGGCGGTAACCAGCGTCTGTGTCCCTTCCCCCTGGCCCTGGCCCTGTCTCATTCCGCCGGGGGCCCCCCATCTTTGTCCCCCACAGGGCTGAGACCTCCTCTGCCCTTGTGGTCTCCCTGCCCGGAGGACGGAGGCAGGCATCGGGGAGGTGCCTGGGGTGTTGGGGATGTCAGCGCAGGGAGGACGGGCCCTTCTGCTGTGGCAGCTGCACCTGCACTGATTCAGCCTGTGTCCCCACAGGAGAAGGCCCAGATTGGGATGTTTCTGTCACACTGACTGGCACTGTATGTCCTGGTTCTGGCCAGTGTGGAGAGCGGGGAGCCCCCAGCTGGGGGAACAGGGCATGGGACAGCGGGACTCCAGGCTGAAAACCCACAGACCCTGGCCAGCCCATCCGGGCCTTCTAGAAACTTCCCCTCAGCTCCGGTTTCCATGGCGCTGTGGGGCTCCACACGGCCTACGGGGCTCGAGGCTCCCTCTAGCATGTGACACGGGCTGCCATTGTCCCCGTGGAGATTTACAAGCACCCTGAGCAGATGCTGTGGGGGACCCCGGCCTCCCGCCTGTGATTTGTGCTGCAGTGGCAGCACTGGGGGCTGGGCCATCGCTGAGCTGAAAGAGAGAAAAAGGAAACCCCAAGCACAAAGCCTGCCTTGGGGACCAGGGACAAGGCAGCTGGCAGGGTGGGCCTGGTGTCAGAGCCTCACCAGCCTGGCCCAGACACGGAAAGGGTCCCAGGGGGCCACCAGGCCTGGAGGTGGTGGCTGCATAGATGGGACCGGGGTCGTGGACCGCGGGAAGGAGCTGCAGCCGGAAGTGGGGCCCCAGCTGCTCTGTGTCGCTGCTGAGAAACCAGCAGGGGTGGGGTTCTGGAGGGGTGCGAGGCCCCTGGTGTCACCAGGAGCTGCCCCGTCCCGGGCCGTGCGTGGCCAGCGTGTGGCTGGCTTCTGTGAGGCTTCTGGATGAGCCATTTCCCAGATGGAAAACGGAAGCTCTGGGATTCGCACCTGCCGAGTAAGGACGGGTGGAGCTGGGATTTGAACCCAAGTCGGCCTTTCCCTCCAGAGGGGCCTCTTGGGACAGCAGGGCCTCCCCCTGCTCACTGTGAATCCCTGGCCCCGAGTCCAGGCCCTTGGGAAAGCTTGTGAGTGTGGACTGCATGAAACTATCCCTGTATCTGGAACTCTCTCTATCCGGATCTATCTCTGTGTAGATGCGAGGTATAACTGAAAAATATGGTGAATGCTGGAGTTTTTAAAGTGATTCCAAGTCCAGTGTGGCTGTGCACACTTGAGGCCACAGTGCTCTGGGAGGCTGAGGCAGGAGGGTCATAAGTTTGAGCCCAGTCAGGGTCAGATTGGAGGAGACCAGTAGATCCATAGAGGCAAAGCCCAGCTGATGGGGAACGACTGTACGTAGGAGTTTCTGCTGCTCTGACAGCAGATGGGGGACAGCGAGGGAAGTCAAGGCTCAGCTTCCCACACTGAAGGTGACCCGCTCTCCGGGACCGCAGCAGCCCCGCCCTGGGAAATACTCCAGGAACCTGACCTTCGCTGACCTTGAGGCCTAGCTGTGGGCTGGGGTGGTGTCCCCAGGTCCTAGGAGACACCCAGTGAACAAAGTCTTCTGTGTTTTCTCTCTTTTTTTTTTTTTAGATAAGGTTTCGCTGTGTAGCCCAGACTGGCCTCAAACTTGAAGAGATGTTCCTGCTTTGGCCTTCCTGGTGCTGGGGTTCAGGGGTAAGCCCCCACAAGGGGCTCCTGTTTTTGTTATAAAGCAGCAGGTGTGTGCTGGGCGTGATGTGGAGTTTAATCCTGTAATACTAGCTATTCCGGAGGCTGAGGCAGGAGGGTTGCAAGCTTGAGCTCAGCCCCAGAAATTTAGACCCTATGTCAAAATTTTAAAAATGAAAAGGGCTGGGTGTGGATCCATCCCAGCACCAAAGCG